GGATACACACATATCCTTTATCCTATATATGTATGTATATATATATATATACTTAGATAAAGTAAAATATAAAGAGAAATACCTTTAAATTTGTCCCATAACACCATCCTGTGCATTAGCCCTATATAAGCGAAAATACAGCATCCACACTGGTAAATGACATGTCATTCTTGAGTCTTTTTAGGCCACAGACTCAGATAAAGAGGCCAGAGGAGGTATTGGACCTCCTGGTTACATGTGTTGCTGATCAGTCCTGCACTATACAGTAAATTAAGTCATAATGCCACATATTAGGATGCCAATTGACTTGTATTTGTCGTCTAGATGAGATTAAATTCACAGTCAATTTTGCTGGAATTTTCAGTGAACAAAAAAAAGGATACATACATATCCTTTATCATATATATCTATATCTATATCTATATATACTTAGATAAAGTCAAAGATAAATACCTTTAGATTTGACCCATAACACCCTCCTGTATATTAGTCCTATACAACCGAAAATACAGCTTCCACATTGTAAAATTACATGTCATTCTTGATTCTTTTTAGGCCACAGATATATATATATATATATATAGTCCTGCACTATATAGTAAATTAAATCATATATGTCTTTCTAAACATGGAATGTACAGTATGTTCACTCACCCTCCACCCTCTAAAACGTTTAACTAATTTAATAGCCTTTTAATTAGTAATATTTGTTTGACAATGCTACACAAAACGCTCCTCGTGGTTTAGACTTAGAGAACAAAACTGTGAAGCTTGGTTTAGATCATTATCTAGACTTTGTCTATGATATATTATTTGTACAACACACCACCTTTGCTGTGTACATCCATCTCTCACTGTCATTTGTTGTATATTGTACAAGGTTCCTGTGGATCCTTCTGACCTACTTAGGGTCTGCGGGTTCATATTTGGGAGAAGGACAACTATAAAAAGAGCCTCCCACAAGTAAAGATGGGGATACGTTCATCTGTTCTGAGAAAAACTTTAAGAGGACAGCATATAGTCTGAATAAGGGCAAGACATCATTGTCTTTGGAGTAAAAAATAGTTCGATTTTCAACCCTTGGACTGCCGCGCTTGAATTCAGTTTTTT